ACAATTCGATCTCACACACGGTAATATGATAGTTGTTAGTCTCTTTCACGTTAAAAAAAATATATAAGCATATTAAAATTGTTTTTTTTTAAAAAATAATATAAAATGTCGAGAAGTGCCTTACGTGCAATAGTCGTTTAAATGTTCTGGAAATCTCACCCTTCTTCCAGAACGCGTCGTTTTAAGTTTATTTTCGGATACTGTCGAAGTATCATCGTGTGTGTTGGTTGTCGGATGAGGTATTATAAGTGTCGGAGTCGTGTCGTTCGATTGTACCGAAGGAAAATCCACGTAGATAGGATTTCCTTCTAAATACGCTGCTTTTAAGCGATCGATACTGATGCTATCGTTGGTTCCGTTCTTATCGACTATATAGTACTTAGATTCACGTTGAAGAACTTTGAAGGGTCCTTCGTATGCTGATTCGAAGGGTCGTCGATGCGAGTCTCGACGAACGAAAACGTGTGTACCATATCGTAAGTCAGGTTGAACGAAAACATCAGTTGATTGAGGTCGAGTGGAAGCAGGTTTAACTGAACGCATTGCGTTTGTAAGCCTGTTCGTGTAGGAGGTTAGATCCATGTTCATTGAAGAGGATGAAGGATCCACGAATTCTCCTGGAAGTCGAAGTGTCGTTCCATAAACGAGTTGAGCCGCAGTGTATCCAATGTCAGCTTTCACTGCATTGCGGATACCTAGTAAGACGAGTGGAAGAGCGTCGGTCCACTGTGAAACGTTTGCAGCTGATAGCGAAGCTTTCAGTTGTCGGTGAAAACGTTCTACCAACCCGTTTGCTTGTGGATGGTAGGCGGTCGTTCGGAATCGAGTGATTCCTAAAAGTGTGGTCAGACGACGGAAAAGATCGGATTTAAACTGACGTCCGCGGTCTGTAGTGATGGTTGAAGGGCAGCCGAAGTTTGCTACCCATCGTTCGACGAAGGTGCGAGCCACAGTTTCAGCAGTGATGTCCTTGATAGGTACTGCTTCTGGCCATCGAGTGAAACGGTCTACGCAGGTTAAGAGATAAGAGTATCCATTTGAATCTGGTGAAGGTCCTACCAAATCCAGATGAACATAGTCGAAACGAGCATCGGGAGTTTTAAACGAGCCTAAGGGACATTTATTGTGTCTGATAACCTTAGATTTTTGGCAGCTTACACAGGAGCGTGCCCACTCCCTCACGTCTTTATTCATTCCAGGCCAGCAAAACCGTTCTGCTATAAGCTTGACGGTTGCACGGACACCTGGATGAGAAAGTTTGTGCAATGTGTTGAAGACATTGCGTCGATAATGTTTCGGCACGATTGGGCGATCCCTACCTGTAGATGTGTCACAAAGTAAGGTTTCCTTACCTGTTCCCATCTGTTTGATGCGTAGTTTAAGTGTTGTTGACGATAACTCGTGCTGAAGATCACTGTCTTCTTTTTGAAGCTCGGCGAGTTTAAGAAGGTCGATTCCTTGGAAACTGTTCAAGGAAGTTATGCGAGATAAAGCGTCTGCAACTACATTGTTTGCTCCAGAGATGTGTTGAATGTCTGAAGTAAACTGCGAAATGTAGTCCAGTTGTCGAGACTCACGGGGAGAGTACTTGTCAGAAGGAGAGCTTAACGAGAAAGTGAGCGGTTTATGGTCCGTGAAAAGAGTGAATTCACGACCTTCGATGTGGTGTTGGAAATGCCGTACAGCACAATACATAGCTAGGAGTTCCCTACCGAATGTGTGTCTAGCAACCTTCTAGAGAAAAATGCCAAGGGTTGCCAGGAGTTGTTAACCCATTGTTGTAAGACTCCTCCGATTGCTGAGTCGGATGCGTCTACTGCGATGCTAATGGGTGCTCGGGTGTCCTGATGTGCGAGCATCGTTGCTTTAGCAATCAGTTCCTTAACTGTGGAGAATGCTTTTCGTGCGGTGTCGTCCAACTTAATGGATTTCGCATTTCCACGAAGTTGGTCGGTCAGAGGTTTCATAAGTAATGCGCATTTGGGTATGAAACGTCTATAGAAACTTACGAGGCCGTTAAACGTGCGTAATTGCTTGACGGTGGTCGGTTCTGGGTAATCCAGAATGGCCGCCACTTTGGTCCCAAGAGGTCGAATGCCTTGAGCATCGATAGTGTGTCCTAGGAAGTCTAACGAGTCGGTTCCGAATTGGCATTTCTGAACGTTTACAGTTATGCCATGTTTTTGAAGTCGTTCGAAAACAAGATCCAGATGCTTGAGATGTGTTTCTCTGTCCGGACTTGCGATTAGACAGTCGTCAACATACGCGTGTACGAAGTTGAGACCTCGAAAAACGTCGTCTATGAATCTTTGGAATGTTTGAGCAGCATTCCTTAGACCGAAAGGCATTCGCGAAAATTCATAGAGTCCGAAGGGAGTTATGATAGCTGTTTTCGGTTTATCGTCTGTAGCCATAGGCATTTGGTTATACGCTTTAACCAAGTCGATTTTCGAAAAGACGGTTGTACCTTTCAAGGTAGCTGTCAAATCGTGAATGTGAGGCAACGGGTGACGATCGGGAATGGTTTTCGCGTTCAATCGCCGATAGTCACCAGTTGGACGCCAATCGTTGATGTCCTTTTTAGGGACCATGTGCAACGGAGATGCATATGGGCTACTTGACGGTCGTATGATTCCTAAGTCCATCATGTGATCGAATTCGTTTTTCGCTAACCTTAGCTTTTCCGGAGCTAGTCGTCGTGCTTTAGAGAATACAGGTGGTCCTGTAGTCGTGATGTGATGTGTAACATTGCTGGTTACACACGGTAGTTTCGGTTGAGTTTGTTGTATCCCGGGGTACTTATCGAGTAGTGGTTGATAGAGTGGGTCTATCATATGTTTAACTGTGACTGGGGATACTCTACAACCAGTAAAAGAAGTTACGCAAACGGACAAATTAGTGTTTCCGTCTACTAGCCTCCGTTTGCGCGTGTCGATGATCAGATTGTGGTGTTGTAGAAGGTCCATACCAATGATTGGCATAGAAACGTCTGCAATAACGAAAATCCAGTGGATGGGTTTGCGTAAGCCCACGTTAAGGTAAACGTACCTTTTGCCATACGTAGCGATCGGTTTTCCGTTTGCCGCCTGTAAGTTAAAAGCCGATTCCTGATACCGGTCGTTAGGATTTGCTGAGAGAACGCTAACTTCTGCGCCAGTGTCGACGAGGTAGCGAACCCTCGTTGTCACATCTGTGACGAATAACAGACGGCTTTGTTCGCCGGCTACGGTTGCCGTTAACGCGTGCCGGCTTGGAAGTTTCCCGAATTGCTTTTCGAATCAGTCGGTTTCGTGTTGGGAAAATTGCAGGGTTTTCTGCAATTTCTGGAAAGCTTTCCATACTGGTTATGATACCAGCACCAGTCGGGGTTATCTGTCTCTCGTGGTCTAGACACAGATCGCTTACGAGAAATGCTTCTACGTGGTGTGCGCGATCTCTTACGGTCGGTACGAAGACTAAGATAACGCGTGAGTGTGTGACATAAGTCGTTTATATCATTCTGAGTCGTTTGAGGTTTTTCTTTGACTGAAAATACCTCGGTAGTAGATTTCGTAATTTCTAAAATGCGGTCGGCAGATGCAGCTAGCTCTTCTAAGGCGTTGTTCTGGAACGAGACCAGAACTGCTTGCACCTGTTGGGGAAGTTTTGACAAGAAGAGTTGTTTGAATAGACCTTCGTCGAAAGTTCTTGGGCCTATTACCTCTCTCATTCGTTGCAACATGTCCGTCGCAGAACCGTGTTGCAGGTCGATATTGTTGAAGAGTTGATCTAACCTTTGTCGATCGGTTAGGTCTCCTCGTTTAAGAATCGAGCGTTTTAAGATTTCGTAAGGATCGGAAACATCACTAGTAAACATACTAGGTGTTACGTACCTGTTGAATTCGCGCGGTAGTGCCTTGACTACTGCGAGGAATTGTGCACGTGTGTCGATCACGCCGTGCTCGGAGAAGTCGGCTTCTGCGTAGCAAAACCAGGCTTCGATGTTGTCGGGCCAGAAAGGCATCAGTTGAAACGAAGGCGGGGACAAAGTCTTAAGCTTGAGTACTTTAGGTGTCTGTTCAGTCATGATGAAGTATGAAGTACGATAATGAACGAGGGGAAAATATATATATCCAGGAAAAAACACGAAAAAAAATCACAATGTTTAAAAAAGTTAAAAAAAAATAAGGCAATGATATATAAAAATCCCAAAAAGGAACAGACTCACAGTTGCAATTAGGTGTACCAGATCACGTCGGGCTCACCAATGTTGATGTCACAGGTATTCAGTGTTTGACAACGCTTCTACCAGTAACACCTTCTAATATATTTCGTGCCCGCCCAGAGAAATCAAAAGACAGAGTCGAGGAGATCGGAAGAGTATATTTGGCGATGACCAATATATCGGAATTCTCTGATCTAATCTGGCTAGCGATTGCGGTTGATGTTGAGCACGGCGTTACCACACGTGATCTGGTGCAGATGCCTGACCGAGTGCCTTCAGCTAGGTGAGTCCACTAAAACATATGGTCAGCCTCCAATGTCGAAAACTTAGTGCTATTTATTTTGGGGATTTATTTACCGCTACAACGTCATTTCTCTTAAACAAATGCTCCCATTTATTCTCAAGAAATATTAACCCCAATTAAACATCAAGTTCAATAGAATAAGTCAAGTCAAGTAGTCATGCTATATATATTGTACAATATTAAGGACTATAAATCACTTCATTATAATAAGATGTAAGTTCAAAGAAATTGGTTAGTTTAAACAGGGCTGTCATAAAGATACTAGATATTCGATTGCTGTTACACCAACTATTACGATTTTTTCTTCTATTCATCCTATCAAGTTACATTCTTCTCATGACCTAATAGTTTGATGTCATATTGTAAGAAAACAATTTGTTGTTCATTTATTGGTGATTGAACAGAGGATCATGTATTTATCTGCACAAACGAATTTGGATACATAGAAAGACGAGACATTTTCAAACTTTCAACACCTGTTTTCGTTTGGAGATGAGAGAAGTTCAAACTGAGGTACGTATGAGATTTTCGTTTCAGCTTAAAAAGCGGATTTGTATTTCGCCTCTTTTCCAAGTACAATATATACCTTATTACACTTGTCATTGCTAAGAACACATGTTATGTTGAAATACCAAGGAAATAATACTAATTCTTGTAAGTAATACAAGCAGTTTTAATGAGTTCTTTAAATCAGATAGAGGATACCATATTAGATATGAAGATCTACTGAATTTCGTTATTTGCAGATTATCTTAGTTAATTTACACGTGAAATTGTATTTACACACATAACGGTAGTTAACTTGTGTATGTACATTGAAAGTTCTCACAATAAGCCATGAAACTAGCGTCACAAACATTTGATTTTTACCCCTAAATCTAACGGATTTTATTCTTGGGCCATAGTCTTTGATAAGCGGGAATACTATAGTATTCCAACTTTTAGTGTAGTAGTTTAATCATTACTTCTTATCTATTTGACTGTAGATCACCGGACATTTAAATTTTCACAAACGAATATCTGTGTTCACTGTGTTGAAAAATTATGACCTTCGCTTGATTTTCGTTAGACAGAAATGGTGGGCAGAATATTCCCTGGGATCTAAGACAAATAATTGTTTAATAAATGTGAGACACTTTGAGTGTCTTTTCTTGATCCTATGAACAATCTGGCAAATGACAATAAAATACCGAGTGCAGTTAAGGAGAGGGGTCATAAAACAGTATTCTCCTCCATTGCTTAACCTAGGGCAACTAGAAACCTTCGTTTAAAATATCAGTTGGTGAGATACATGATGATAAGGGATTATCACAAGCTTTTTCTCACATCTATTTATCCTCATTCCCTAGTATAACTCCTCAGGTTTATTTCACTAGTATAAAGTGAACCATAGTGTGTCGGGTTCTAGAAGTTCGGAACATTATGACACAGCTGTTTGATCATTATTTGTTTTTATGTACTTCACAGGTCATTATTATGATCCTGAAAAAAGGCTGGATGAAGTTGGTTACCCGCTCCTGATGATTGTTTTTCTTTTCAAAGTTTGTTTTAAGGGACAAACGATATGGTTGCTGTGAGGTGATATCACGATGACTTATGAGTAATGCGTTATAAAATATCTTGAATACTGAACACTGAGGTTCAAATTTTGGAGACAAATTCATAGATAAGTATTACCAACTAAAATGGATGACAGCAACAGAAAAAGCACCTAGTCGGTCATTTAGGTACATACTCAAATCCTGTTATATTCTTGAGAGTGCAATTTTACAGCTCCATAGATACCAGTGTACACTAACAGCATTCGTTATCGGTATATTACGGTTTATTAAGATCATGTTACCGTTAATCTGTCTGTAAACTTTATTTAGAATTCTTTAGGGAATAGAAGTATCTCGAGGTCTTCAAATCTTTCGACATTGGCGAGGCAATCTACATGTGGCATAGTTTGCTAAACAGATACCCGTGAAGTAAAGAGATAATGAAATTTTGTCAAGGCCCGTCAAACATTAAAAGATTTTCAAGCGGCATAAAATAAACTTATAAGGTGTGTAATTTTCCCTCGAGGTGATATTTTTTATCTGTTTGGACAAATGCGAACGTGTAGCCCGTAATATACTTGGGCAATAAACACAGAGGTTGAAAGCTCTTATTGGCTTTAGCGTTGTGATACGATTGTTTCTTCTGTGATCAATCTTCCTACACAAGTTTCTATTTGTTCACTTTGGGGTGAACATAATTTGTAAATCTTTTAATCTCCAGTTTGCCAATCGAAAAGCAATCAGCATGTAATAACTTGTTGGTCTAAATATTAAGTAACGGCTAAAATCAGTTACTAAACCTTATGTGTCTAGCTTTCGTTTAAAAACAACAACAATTTTTTTCTGTTTACTGGTCGTAGAATTTGTTTGCTCTATGAACCATCTCATAGTTTAAGATAAAGGATGAAATATTGAACATATTTATCCAAATCTGTTACAAAGCCACTATCTCAAAATATTACTGAATAAACAATTCTTTGAGTTTTTACGCATTCCGTTTGCAAAATTTGTAAGGACCTTTGAAATTTCATGAGGCAAGGAAGCCAAGGGTCTTTCTAGCACAAGGCCTAGAAATCACCGCTGTTGTACTAGTCAAACCAACATATTATTCATTCGAGTCAATCTGTTTACGGAATTTATAAAGGTGTGCTGTCTTGTAACATCCCTAAAAATAAAAACAAAAACGACATCCGCTTTCTGCAAATCATTTAGTGCTACCACGGAGTTTTGCAGGACATTTCTTTGGAAATTAAAAACGTCCCTTATCTGATAAAACTACGAAACGACTGAAGAATATAGGCAAATCATAATTCAATAATTTTAACGTTTTGCATTTGAGAACACTTCTCCATAATTCTTTTATACGACTTGTGAAAATGTAAAAAATTTCTCTGTATGATGTTAATACATGCCTTCAAAAAGCGCTAAATTTTATAATCTTTTTCACTACTTTGGTTTAAAAATAACTTGTTTACTTTGTTTCATGTATTTTCCCTTAGAGTTGATAGTGTTCTTGTTTCTTTGATGTTTTGTGATTATTTGATGTATTGACTGCAGTGATACAAAAAAATTCTTTTAAACAGAATATATTTTATTACGTCAATTCACATCATCCGATATAGTTAAGTTTAACACCCATAACGAATTTATTGTGTTTCTCATGCTATGTGCACGTTTGCCTGAGGACCTATGTTAATATCACTGAATCCGATTGAGGGCTCATAATATATTGTGTTTATCATTTATTAGTCACTTGAGTTTTTTAATTATCATGGACGAGTTATTGATATTGTTGTGTTATTTCATGAACTCTACTTAGAATGTTTTTACTAGGGCGATCAGCGTAAACTTTATTTGTTATGTCTAAAAGTTCAATTCAACTTGCTACTAGTTCGTTTACAAAACCTAAAGTCATATTACTTTTTATGCAACCACAGGAAGAATTAGAACAGGCTATCAAAGAAAGTGAAACAAGACTGATGATACTAGACTTTTTTGCGGATTGGTGTGGGCCTTGCAAAAGAGTCGCTCCAGAACTGGACAAAATTTGTGAAGAATGGGAAGATGTTTTATTCATAAAATTAAATGTAGATGAGTTGGAGGTAGGTGTTGTGAATTTCGGAATTGTTCTGAAGTTTGATTAAATATTCTTTTCATAATCAATTTCTGAATAAAAGTATTAGAAAAATTGCTTTAAGCTATTTAGAGTCGCTATCTTATAAATTGTGCCTATTTCTGAGTATACAGAATGTCATCAATCCAGATACAAAATGACTCATTTAAGCACGCTTATGTTATTCACAGATTAAGCAGATTAGACTTCAAACTTATCCTGTCGTCTATGTTTATGGTTAAATATGACTCTTCTAGCCTGATAAATGGCGTAGGCGTTAAAACTTATTCTTCTCAAACAATACCGACAGCAATATTTAGATGGACAATCAAAGGTTAGTGGCTAAACCATCCAGATATGGGATACAAAGTCTCTATAGTTTTTCCCTTTTGATGCAAATACTCTCCGTTGTCTCATTTTGTCTTGTTAAAGATTATTTTAGTGACAAATCTGATCAACTGATTTTTGCACCTAATTTTTACCAGCAAATTATAGTTTGGAATTGGTTCTAGGGACTTTTGTTTGTTTATCCTTCCAACGAAGTCGAATATATATTTATAGTTACTATTTCAATATATGTGTAGTTGGTTAACATTTGTGCCGTTCTTCTGACACTTAGGTAAGTAGTTGCAGTGTTTATATCTTAGCGGCAGCACATCCACCAATGTTTGGATTTTGTTCAGATAAAAAGTCATAGATGTGATAAAAAGTATACAGTTGACTTTAGTACTAATCAATAGCTTAATAACATTGTAGTATCCAAACAAAAGATTAAGCGTTAAATTACCATGTTAAGCTTGTTACAGTCAACTTACAACGTTATTAAACTTGGTCAACTAGTTACACGTGGTTTGAATTTTTAGTGACGTTTCAGAAAGTAACTCTTATTAATGCGGACATGGTTTATAACATTTTGATATCTCGATGAATGGTATGTATATATACTTTGTGATATTATGTTAACCAGTAAATACATTCCTCTTTGTCAAAAGTATGCATCTAGCATATTGTATGGTCATTTTCCTCTAAATGTCTTTTTTATCCTGCAGTGATGATTATGATACATCCTATACTGTGAACTAAAGCTGTGGGGCACAGTCAAATGAAATAGGATTCCCTTTATTAGAATCTAAGTTTTATTCATAAAAGTTGATCTTTCATTATTGTTACTAGCAAGACAATAAAAGCTCATAAAAGAATGTTTCTACCTAAGTTAATACTTTGGAAACAGGAGATCAGTAGAACTGGAAAGATATTTACAAACAGAAAGGACAATAGTCGTAAAGAGGGCCCTCGTTGACTAAGATAGATTACGTATTGTGTATTTCCTGTTAATCCTCATTACTGTTAGTTTATAGGTTTAAAAAGAAGAAATAACTATTGAGACATCAGATTAATCCACTAAATAGGTAATTGCAGTCCATTATTGCAATACGGAAATATGGATTGTTTAGCATTGCTCTAACGGTACATCAGATAATGATATTTCCAGACAAAGAATGGTCTTGCTAAAGAGTGCGCGGTACTATTTTTCTATGAAAACAGTTTTCAATGACCTTCTGGCTGTTCAGTTACTTTGATTTCTGCCTTTATTACCATACTTTCTTTTCCTAAACGGTCTAATAATTTAGGTAATTTCGCAAATTTTGGCAAACCTACAAAGGCTTAATACGTTGTCAATCACGTTGTGTTGAGTCAACCCTCAATTTGCCATAGCGCTCTTTCTATGAGGCACTGGAAATAAAACAGACCACTAGTACCGAAAGTTACGTGAAATATAGATAGGGCCACAATTTATTTAAACATTATTTTCACATACAAGAGTAATAGAAATCACGGGCTCTACTGACGACGAGTCAAAGTAGGTTCTGCTATAGATTAAGAATAATGTTTCCTAACAGTATATGAAGACAGAAAAATTACTCCGTTAACAGACTGATACATCAATTATTGGGCTGGTCAGATGGACTCCTATGATTCATATCCTTGAGAAACATAATATTTTCAGTATTTATTGTTATTGACAATTAAAGTTTTTCCTAGCCATCATCCTCACTTGTACTTTTATTTTTAGTCTGCAGCCGAAACGTATGCTATAGCTGCAATGCCTACATTTATTGCATTCAAAGGCGGCGAAAAAGTGGACGAAGTTGTTGGTGCGAATTTAGACAAACTGAGAGAGATGATTGAAAAGTATAAGTAAATAAACCACGGGGGCTAATGAAAAAATCATTTCACTGAACATATTTCTGTATCACGATTAGTCATATATTGCACTTAGTTACTATTATATGTAAAAGATATTTATGAATTGAGCGACATTTAACATTTCATTAATTAAAATTGATGATAAATTTCTGTTAACACATATATGAGAAGCGATACTTTAGTTTTCATTAAATATGTTCACTAAACAAATATTATATTTCACTACAGCTGATTTGGTTATTTTGTTACTTGTTAAGCTGTTTTCGTCTGTTCTTGTGGAGTAACTTGACTGACAACATCGTATTATTTTTATTATCAGAAAGGAATGTATAAACGCTACACAATATACAGTCACTCATCTTTAAAATATCAACTAGAAACGGTAATTCACCAGATTATATGAAGTGTGTCAACAAAAGGAATACCATTAAGGTAAATAACTAGTTTTGATGTTGGCCACTAAAGACAAACGGCAGAAAAAGCTGATTCCAGTGATTCTTGTCGATTGCCTTTCAAACCATCGAGTGAATCTAACACTGATCACACATTTAAGGAAATTTGTTATAGAACAGATTAGCTCAATGACTGTGTAATTTATTCTTACAGTATTGTGTAGTTTATTGTAAACTACCTATCATGCATCATCATTGAACAATCAACTGTATGGAACGCGTCACTGTACACCAAATTTCTTGATTATGAAAAGGCGTTTGATAGTGCGGATAGGAGAACCTCGTGAAAACATCTTCGACACTATGATATACGTGAGAAAATCGTCAACATCATACGGAATTCATATGACAGACTACACTGCAAATTCGTGCATGGGGAATAGCTGACAGACGTATTCCAAGTAAGGACTGAAGTCAGACAAGGCTGTCTACTCTCTCCTTTCCTCTTTCTTCTGGTGGTCAACTGGATTATGAAGACCTCAACATCTGACGGGAAGCACGGAATGATAGACGATTTGGACTTCGCAGATGATCTGGTCCTTCTATCCCATACACTTTAACAAACAGTGTAGCAGAGGTCTCTGCATCCGTAGGCCTCAACATACAAAAGGGAAAAATCATGATCCTCAAATACAACACGGAAAACACCAACCAAGTCACATTTGATGGAGACACTCTGGAAGAGGTGGAAACTTTCACGTACCTGAACAGCAGCATCGTCGATGAACAAGGAGAATCCAATGCAGGCGGAAAGCAATTATTGGTAAATTAAGAACAACATTCCTACATTTGAAGAACATATGGAACTCAAAACAACTTTCAACTAACATCAAAGTCACGATCTTGAATACGAATGTCCAGACAGTCCAACTATATGGAGCTGAAACATTGAGAACTACTACAACCACCATAAAAAAGGTAAAAGTATTTATAAACACCTGTCTACTCAAGATACTCAATGTCTGCTGGTCAGATGCCATCAGCAACAACCTACTGCAGAATAAAAAAACCACCTTCCATCTGAAGAGGAAATTAGGAAAAAACTCTGGAGGAAGGTAGGACATACATGGTGGAAGTCGTCAAACTGAATCACGAGGAAGGCGCTAGCTTGGAACCCTGAATGGAAACATAGAAGAGGAAGTCCATAGGAATACACTGTATCGAGGATTGGAAACAGACAGGAAAAGGATGAATAGCAACTGGAATCAACGTGAAAGGATTGATCAGGACAGAGTTGGATGGAGAATGATGGTGGGTGACCTGTGCTATTTCACTAACAGAGGTGAGTAAGTAGGTGACTTAACCCAAGTCATTTGTTTGAAAGGGTACAATAAATCTGCATTGAATTTTGATTTTAGTACTTAGAGTAGTTTGCTTAAAATCAGTTTTCTCGTTATCTGAATTATAAACATAAATTATCAGATCATGTTTTCGTATTTATTGATGGTAATACTGGAGTCGGAAATACTGGAAAATAAGAATTATTTTCTATCAATAACGATAATTCATTGACTAACGTGTAAAATAGATTAATATATATGATCATTGGATTTCATGATTTCCTGATACAGTCGTTGTAAAGTGTTTTTTATCACTGAAAGCTTAATTTTCCCATACCATGTACTTGACTGATTTGGTTGATATTTGTTTTACAAGTCAGGTCCCCATTTGACCCCTGGGTTAGTGATCAGCTGTTTAAATATCTATTTTAATTTCATGTATTTGTTTATTTAGTAGACTCCATAACTATCTCCTAAATGTGATATTTTATCAATGATAAAATATTGTTAGTTAAAATCAACTACTTCTTTTACTAAAATAAATTGTCCATTGCAATAATGTAGTGATAATAGAGGATAGTTTTACCAAATATGTCCCTATTATTCGTATTTTCATTATCAAGTTGTATATTAGACAATTTTAATATGATGTAACGAATCCACAGTGAAAACTTTAATTGTTCTGCATCCTTAATGCTTATATTTTGTAGGACTGAAATAATGATAATTTATAGTTCAATGAATTGTACTTATGAGTTAGTTAGATATATACATTTTGTTTGATCTAATTCTTTGTAAATCAAATAGAGAAATCCCTAATAATACATATCAGTATGAAAACATAGGTGTATTGGAATCACTGTTCACATTTGATGGGACTTCAAGTGAGTATTGCTGAAGTGTGGGGGCCTAAGTAAGAGTCGTAAGTCGGCAAGTGAAACAGTGAACCATAATTGGCCAAGGTGATTAAAATATGTGATACATATTTCGAAATACTGTCTACCAGAAACGTAATGCTGACTGGGGTAGAAGTAGATTGGAATAAATCTAGAGATGGCTAATCAACGACATGAAATCAGTCCATGAATTAATTGACCATTGGACTGACCCCATATCAACAGGTATAGACTTCCAGCTTACGATTCGTCCGACAACTGTGACTAATGGTTGGAGTAATTAAGTGATGCGCTCCAAAATCCTGTAAAGTGGCACAGTCGGATCCATTTCTTATCTTCCTCTGATAGAATGGCTTGGTTTTATTTTACAATCCTTATTCTTAGAACTCATTGCTTTCTACAAAAGTAGATTTCCTATGTTTTGCTTTTCATGACACGTTGATAAACCTAATCTTTTGCTCTTCACTTTGCTAATTTTTTCTTTTACTGTGTTTATATTAGTTGGGGTAAGTCGAACTGATATGTATTCCTCTCAGGCCATACGCTATCTAAGACAGACTAAAAGTTCGATTTAGTTAAAATGCTTATCACAGGCTAATGGATGTTAATGGAAAATACGCTTGTTCAACGAAGATATGTACTTAAAATAATAAAAGAAACCCATGACATCACTGAAAAAGAATTCAGACAGTATCATTTACTGAAGTCTTAAAATGGTATTTATAGTTAATTTACAAGTAAAGTAGTCTGTTGAACAATAGGAGGATCATTATGTCATATCATATGTCATAGAAAGTTGCTTAATAATCTAGAATTGAAGAGATAATAAAACGAAATTAAAATTGAGAATGATAATTATCCCCTTGACGAGTATGAGAAGGGTGAAGAATAAATTAAAAACATGAAGCTGATAATAAGGAATAACTAAAATTAAGATTTAAAAAACTAACCAGATAAAATAAAACCAAATTACCATTTATATAAAAGTAAGCGTTGGAGTCATAAAAGAATGATGGCTTGGACCTGTTTCTTTGCACATAGAGTTCAGGTTTGAAAAAATGGATCGCCAGTGAATAAGTTATTCATCTGTACTCCTTTCCAACCCAACCGTTTTACTATGTAAATAATTTTAAAGGATTTATCAGAGAAGGCTATGTGACCAGAGTTTCTAAGATGCTTTAATATTGAATATTTGACTGATTTATATTCACCTTTTGAAAGCCGTGCGTGATAATTTTCGGTGGTGCGTTTGGCGAATTCTCGCTTTTTGTAGTCTACGTAACCTGCTTCACAAGAGCAGGTGGACTTATAAATACACATTGATGCGGTTCAGTGAGAGAGTTTGTCTATGATACATCTACAAACGATGGAACAGCTGAAAAAGACGGTGCGATGATTAGGGTTATAAAAGGTTTCCTTCAAGGATTCTTCAAATCTTTTTCAGCAGTATTTCCCTTTAACTAAAGGATTAGCAACAGAGTCTTCTTAGGGACTGTATGGGTTCTTGTAGACCGTAATTTAAGTTTCATATCGCACTCAATAAACCTGCATAGATGGCTGTTTTTGAGGAATGTCTATCAAGGTTGTGTAGTTCCTTGTCTGTCGTATCTCCCTACTATATTCACATAGCTTTCGATGATAGAAACTAAATTAAGTTCTTTTTCTGCTTAAAGGCTTCCAGCTATGGAAATACGTGTATTTCCCATTTCAAGTTGGTGTTAGGTTTATAGACCTTTACAATGTACCATGTTGTCTTCTAGTGAATAGGATATCGAGGAAACGAAATTTTGAGTTTGATTCCGATTCCAATGTAAATTTGATGGATTGACGGCAGTCACTGAACTTATTCAGGATGAAGTTGAGGTCGCTGTTTTCATAATAAAAAATGAAAGTTTCATCCATATGCCTCCTGTATAAGTGGAAGTTTTCAGTGTTCGGTCGAAGTACTGTGTCCTCACGATTGTTCATGAAACAATTTTCAAGAACAGGGCCAAACAGTAAACCCATAGCGACGTCATTAATTTGTCTGTTAAACTCATTATTAGATCAAAACTGAACTCCAACGGTGCATCGTAGGAATACTTCCTTTAGATAATGCTTTTGAGCACTAATATCGAGGTTGTTGTCTTCACTATAATCATAGGAGGTTTATGTTCTCTGTTAGTGGAAATGGATGTCACATCTAAAGATGCTATTATTATTGCAGTTACACTGCCATATATATTTCTCTAAATAGCTTGAAATCGTAATGCTTATACGCAACGACTTTAAAAACTTCACTTTTTCCTCGGTTCATTCAGATGTTTACTATACAAGGAGTGCTTACAAATAAATCGAGGATTATGGGAACTGTCATTTATTTTTTGA